TTAAAATTTTAAATGTGGGAGACGAAGCCACCGGTAGTTGAGTTTTTTTTTTTTTTTTTTAATAATTTTAAAGTTCTAATTTTAATTAATTATTTTATTTAAAATTATTTTAAAAATTAGTAACCGCTCTTTCAAGTAAAACATGTCATTTTGGGTTTAATTGCATCATTTTGTGTTGTTCAGGGACTTAATTTCTATGTTTTTTAGTTTGATGATCTAATTGTAATTTGATGTGCAATTGAGTTGCCTATTTGACCCTTATTTCAAAAAAAAAAAAAAAGAAGAAGAAGAAGAAGAAGAAGAAGAAGATGCTTATAAATCCGAGCAAATTCATTTTGGTAGTTTGATTCGAAGTTCTTATTCTTCCATGCCCTTTGAGAATTTAAGAAAAATTGTCCAAATCTTTTGATAATTCAAAAATAATTATAAATACTAAAATATAATTTTATTTTATTTTTTTTAAAAAAAGCTTTGAAAAAAGAAAAAAGGGTCAAATAAGCCCCTTAACATTTTGCTAAAAGTTAATTAGCTCCACGAATTTTTAAAAAGTTCAATTGAACACATGAACACACGATTTTTAGTCCGACCCTATTAACACATCAAAGTAAGGGCACCATACTCTAAACTTAACATTCCTATAAACGTTGACCCAGGAGGACAACAACATGGCACCAAACAGAAGACAATCAAGGACTCCAGAACCCGCCACACACGACCCCCTGACCCAAACTCTGCAACAACTAACACGAGTCGCTCAGGCACTAAGCGACGTGGCTCTTTGCAACAACAGGTCCCCACCACCTCCGTCAAACGCAAACTCAGACGTCGCCCGACAAGTTTCAAATCATCGACCACCCACGTTCTCAGGAGAAGAAGATCCCGTAATCCTGGAAGAATGGATCCGGGCGCTCGACAAAATCCTGGGGTTAGTAGAATGCCCAGAAGAACGTCGCGTAGAGATAGCCTCGTTCTACTTCGGACACGAGACAGACCTTTGGTGGGTATTTAACATTTTTATCTTAAAAAAATAATGGGAGAACAAAATTATAGAACTGAAACGGAGTAAATTTCATTTGGCTTTTGATTTATGATGATTGCTTTTATAACATTACATAAGATTTGTATAAAATTCATGACTATATACACACAAATTTGAAGTGAATGATTTTGTATAATAAGATAAATATTACATACGATTATTACAAATTCATAAACTTTGTGATGATTGATTTTATATATTAAGATGAACAATGTATATGATTTGTGTAGAATTCATAAATATAGACACAAATTTGATATAATTTGAGGTGTTTGATTCTATATACTAAGATGAACACTACATACGATTTGTAGTTTTGTACATTCATGACTATATACACACATTTGATAAAATTCAAGGTGACTGATTTTATATAATAAGACAAACATTAAATACAATTTGCACAACATTCATGAATATATACAAACAAATTTCATTAAAGTTTGTGATGATTGATTTTATATATTAAGATTAGCATTATATATAATTTGTATAGAAATAATGTATATACACAGACAAATTTAATAAAATTTGAGGTGATTGATTTTATATTATAAGATAAACATTATATTACATACTATTTGTACATAATTCATGAATATATACCCACAAATTTATAAAATTTGAGGTGATTAATTTTATATAATAAGATGAACACATGATTTATACATAATTCATATATATATATATATATATATATATATATATATATATATATATATATATATATATAATTTGATAAAAAAATTTAGGTAATTAATCTTATATAATAAAATTGGCCTCATATACATTTTGTATAGAATTCTTAAATATATACACATAAATTTTACGTTGTATAAAAATTAAGATAAATGATTTTATATACTCTATCTGTTCCATTTTATGTGTTATATTTACTATTTAGTATTTATTGTTTAAATTAACCTTTTTTCTTTGTTTATTTGTATTAATATTTTTTACTTATTTTTAAATTTGATTTTTTGTGTTCAATAATACTTTTAGTGTAATTTTTAAATATATAAATTTTGTATACTAATAGGGTAAATACCAGCCAAGGTCCTTCGAGTTCGGTGGTTTCGCCATCTATAGTCCCTAACTTTTGTAATTCCAGCCATGGTCCTCTGAGTTGCGAAATCTAACCTGCAGCCATCCTCCTGTTATTTTTTTCCGTCTAAGCCGTCTAAAGCAAGGATAAAATTGTCATTTGCCTTTCATAATTCGTTTTAATGGCATTGCGTGCCTTATCTGTAGTTCTTCACCATCTCGTTATCATTTCACCGGAATTTTCTGTTGAAGTCCGGCGAAGAGCCTGTTGGGTGAGAATGACGACTTGATTCATACCCCAATTCTCTCCTCCTCCTCCTCTTAATGCATTCAATTCTAATAAATCTTCTAATTTTTGGATTTGTGTTCTTTTAATTTGACGGTAAACCCTAAATTAGCTCTATGGATTTAAAAAAAAAAAAATCTCTGTTATTCAATTGTTACGATAGAGTTGAAATCTGTGATGCATTTATTCTCCGAAGTTACAATTGCAGGTTTGGAGGGCCATCATTTTCTGCCTCCTTCGCCACCTTGTGGGCATTGTTACAATTTGATTGGGAGCCCAATCTCTGGTGAATAGATGAAAACAAAAATCAATCTGTCTACACGTTTGGCTCTGATTTTGTGTTCGTGTGGTGGGTTGATGACTGAAAACAAAAACTCGTTTCTCTGGTGAGCTGGAACACCCTAACGGTGCACAACGCCGGCATCCTAATCCGCCGTCGTAGTCCGTCCACCGTCTGCTCTCTGTAATATGCCAGTCTGTGAAAAAAAAAACCAAAAATTTGGTCTGCAAAAAACACATCTTGCTGATTTGAAAAGAGATGTAAAATCTCTAGTCTCTGTAACTCTCCAAACCCGCTTGGGATTTCGTCGGTCAATAGTTAAAAATCACTAACCAGATATGCGATTCCCATCTACCGGTTCTTCAGTAGAAAGTGACTCCTCTATACTGTGAGCTCCGAGACCTCTGCCCTCTCCGGCTCTTCTTCACCTTTTGCGGCTGAGGCAGCGGCTGCGGCTGGTGTTTCTCTACCCTTGCGGCTGAGGCTGGTGTTGCTCTACCCTTGCGACTGAGGCTTCGCCCCGGTTCAATTCACCCTTGTTTATCAGGAATAGTTGTCGCGTCACGAACACTGGGCGAGTCGCCCTCCCATTCTCGTAACAGTCATCGTTCTTTCTCCCAGCCTTGAGGATCTCAAAATTTAAGGAAAACATGTCGCGACCGCGCATGGAGCAGGTGTCTTCCACATCGGCATTGCCGGATACCTTGGCATTCGTCTACGACGAGCTCGTCGTCCCAGATTCATCGGCTCTGGTTTGGGACTTAATTTGTGCTTTTTAATTTCTAAATGTTTTATTTTATGCTTCTAAAAACAAATGTTTTATTTTATGTCAAATGACAATTTTATCCTTGCTTTAGACGGCTTAGACAGAAAAAATTAACGGAAGGATGGCAGCAGGTTAGATTTCGCAACTCGGAGGACCATGGCTGGAATTACGAAAGTTAAGGACTATAAGTGGCGAAACCACCAAACTCAAGGGACCTTGGCTGGTATTTACTCTATACTAATACTAAACTTAATATTATTAAAAATTGAATTAAAAATAACTTCAATCAGGCTCTGTTAACCGAAAGAGAGGGAAAGAGTATATAATAAGTAATAAGATGAACATTACATTTATTTTTTTTTTCTACTAAACAAACAAACTATAGACTATAGTAGTGTATGTCTACATTGGAGAACGTGGAGATGAGATCAAAGGAGTTTGAACCAACCAGACTGAACTGAAGGTTGATAATTTATGAGGACAAGTAGTATCAGCAGCAGCAATGCCAAACGTAAAGGAGTAGTAGTAGTAGTGTCGTCATTATCAGCTGTAGTCATGGACTGGTAAAACGGCCTGGAATAATGTCCCGTTGGAGCCGGAGAGAACCAGCGGTTGCTAACCATCAAGAAGTGCACTAAGAAGATGGCAAACAAAGGGAGCAAGAAACGTAGTATGAAATTGGTCTTGGCCTGCTGCTTCTTGTCTGACTCAGAATCACTTCCCATGTACATCCAAAACAGCACCGAACCCAGGAAAACCATCAAACCCAAAGGCGGTGGTGAGATTGAACCACCCACGGGCCCCTGCAGGCTTAGTCCTCTGCTTTCTCTCGCAAACCATCCCATTTTTTAATTTTCTCTTAGCTTATATTAGTTTGTAGAATGCTATAGCCTTGTGGGTCACCTAATATATAAATATGGTGGTGAACCGACTTTGCTTTCGGATTTTTTTTTTTTTTTTTTTTTTTTTTTGGGGGGTCTGAATTCTGAAATGGCCGGCATGCATTGATATTTAGTATTTGTTTGAGAAATCCAGAAAAAATAATGTTAAAATAATATTCCTATCAAATTAGTTCTATACACGAGTAGCTGATTGCCATATATACTCAGTCGGTCTTATCCTGCTAACATCAACCACCATATGTCAAGACAGATGGCGAGCATGCAAGGCCAAACAATACTTGTGCTGCGTGCACGCTCAGTGTTTTTTGTCTCGAGCAACCTCCCAATAATTGTAGATTTTTATGGGTTTTTTTTATAGGCTATGCAAGAGGGAGAAGAAAAAAAAAAACTAAATGTATTACGAGGCGGGTGCAGTAATTTGTGCAAGTTTCCTCCTTTTCTTCTAAAAGTGGATCCACCCAAAACCATATTTACAAAGAAAAAAATCTAATAAATTTTTTGTCATTTTTCATTAGATAAGAAGTAAAAACCAATTCCTAGTATTTTCTTCCTTACAAACTGAGCATAAATCATTATTCAGGTGGCTTAAAGTTGAATTGCTCCATTCTATTCCCCGGAACCCAGATGTACACTTCATACGAGTACACGCCCCTACTATTATGATGAGGTCATCGTAAATTTGATTGAAAGTGCAATGATAAACTATATTTTAGAAAGCCAGCCAAAAATATTCTTAAGAGACACGTTTAAGCACAACAAACAATCATACCATCAAGTTCAGGAAGATGAGATAAGAAAAACAAAGAAAAGAAGCAGCACTCAGTGAATTAAAGACTTGTGGATGCAGCAGCAATTAGTCTTCATATTCTTCATCGCCCTCATTGTTGTACTCTTCCTCGTCATCTGCAGTGGCATCTTGGTATTGCTGGTACTCAGCCACCAAATCATTCATATTGCTCTCTGCCTCTGTAAACTCCATCTCGTCCATCCCTTCCCCTGTGTACCAGTGCAAGAAAGCCTTGCGCCTAAACATAGCTGTAAATTGCTCGCTTACCCTTCTAAACATCTCTTGAATTGATGTGGAATTTCCAACAAATGTTGACGACATCTTCAAGCCGGTTGGTGGAATGTCACACACGCTTGACTTCACGTTGTTGGGGATCCACTCCACGAAGTAGGATGAGTTCTTGTTCTGGATGTTGATCATCTGTTCATCCACCTCCTTTGTGCTCATTTTCCCTCTGAACATGGCGGAGGCTGTCAGGTAGCGTCCATGGCGAGGATCGGCAGCACACATCATGTTCTTTGCATCCCATATTTGTTGAGTAAGTTCCGGGACAGTGAGAGAGATGTATTGCTGTGACCCACGAGAGGTGAGCGGTGCAAATCCCACCATGAAGAAATGAAGACGTGGGAAAGGAATCAAATTCACAGCCAGCTTCCGAAGGTCTGAGTTCAGCTGCCCAGGGAATCTCAAGCAGCACGTAACTCCACTCATAGTTGCAGAGATCAAATGGTTGAGGTCGCCAACTGCCACACAAAAAAAAAAAAAAAAACATTATAATTCGCTACAAATTAAACCTTCTGAAATGTTCCTCGTTAGTGAATAGACAGGGATGTACTCACAGCTTGGAGTGCTGAGTTTCAAGGTCCTGAAACAAATATCATACAGTGCTTCGTTGTCAAGGACCATGCATTCATCTGCATTCTCCACTAATTGATGAACAGAGAGTGTGGCATTATATGGCTCTACAACTGTGTCCGAGACCTTTGGCGATGGGAAAACAGAGAATGTGAGCATCATTCTATCAGGATACTCCTCCCTTATCTTTGAAATCAAGAGAGTTCCCATGCCAGAACCAGTACCGCCTCCAAGTGAGTGACAAACCTGAAATCCTGCCATGATACAACAAGTGGTATAAATTAAAGCATAATGAATTTTCTCATATCTTGTATTAAAATGGTCTTCTTATAGAATTGTCATGCAGCCACATAAAAATTTCAAAGCAATGAATACAACATTCAATGACAACTGTTTGCATAGAAAATAAAATTTCTGTTCATAATTTCAAGCAATTTTAGCCCATAAAGCATTTAGTAACAGTATATTCCAAGCATTTGAAAAAAAGAAGAGCAAGAGAAGGCAATAGTAGAAAGGAAGGTAGGTCCTTGTGACTTCAAATGTATCTCAAATAAGACAGACAGACACATTTATGAATGGTGTCACAATGAGGTGGATGAAGCATGGAATTGTTTCACCATAAATCTAACCCACCAAACAAAGAAAACTAGATGGCACCATTAATATAATATTTCACTGCATGCCAATCACAAGTACAGTCTTCAAAAAGTAGGAACTTGAAAAAAAAGGTAAACAATTTTATCTTTGTGCCTCTCCATCAGGACCACCAAGGTCATTCATCCATTTAAAGATTAATTCCACTTTTCCATAAAGTGACATAATCATGTTGGCGATTGATGAACACTGGCGTGAACTTTGAGACACCACTCAATCATGCAAACATAAAAGTTACACATACCATCTACATATAGTTTTCACCAAAATAGAACACAAATAGAAAATACTTCCTTCCAGATCTACACAATTTCACTAGAACTATCTTTCTTCTAGTACTCAATTGCTTTCTGAGCGTATTTTGTATGTTTGGCATTTCAACACAGGGATAAGCATCAAAGGATTCACAGCAAATTTTAATAAAATATATAATCTAGCTAAATAAGCCACACAAAGACAGCTAAAATCAGAATAAAAATGGTTATGTACTTATGAGAGAAAAATAATAGTACAAGACAAATTACTACCGTTTAATCATTAAGTTGTCGGCCAATTAACCATGAAAACCTCTAAACTGCAATTACAAGCATATGACAATTAGAGCCAAACAGGTTGACATTTTGGATTAAACCAATAATACCGGTTTCTCTAGACAAGTATCTTCTCTCATAGGAGTCTGCTGTGACTCTTGTGAGTGGATTAAAATCAATCTCCTCCATCAACTACAGGCAGTCTTATTACAAAATGGGAAATGCTTAGCTTGTTAGGCAAACCAAACACCACTGGAAATCGAAACAGAAGGTATTCAAATGCATAACGGCTGCAAAAGGAATGACAGATAGCACGAAATTCACAGCGCAAAGGATCCAAACAACAATGGCATACAGATACCTACTTTTCTAGCTCCTGGCGTGTGCCAAAATTTGAAAACACCGCATCAATCACGCAATCCATACACGATACATCAAGCAACAAAAAATACATATGCATCATATAAGGAACTAAGAGAGAAATCCAGACGGAAAGAGAAGCGAAGATAAACCTTGCAAACAGTCACAATTCTCAGCTTCCTTCCGAACAACATCGAGAACGGCGTCGATCAACTCAGCGCCTTCGGTGTAATGACCTTTGGCCCAGTTATTTCCGGCACCAGACTGTCCAAACACGAAGTTATCGGGCCTGAAGATCTGTCCAAACGGCCCCGATCTGATACTGTCCATGGTACCTGGCTCGAGATCCATAAGGACGGCGCGAGGGACGTAACGGCCGCCAGAAGCCTCGTTGAAATAAACATTGATGCGCTCGAGGTGGAGATCGGCGGAGCCGCTTCCTTCGTCGCCCTTGTAACGGCCGGTAGGATCAATGCCATGCTCATCACAGATAACCTCCCAGAATTTGGAGCCAATTTGGTTGCCGCACTGGCCTCCCTGAATATGTAAGATCTCTCTCATTTTTCCCCCTGATACCTAGCTAGGTTTTGTTTAATGGTGAGGGAAAGTGAGAGAGAGATAGGGATATTCTGTTTGAGAATGGAGAGAGGATGAGATATTTGAGCAGTTGTCGAGGATAGTGGATGGTAACAGCGAGGAGTTGGAATGACGCATGTGAATTGGATGTAGTGACAGCCGGGATGAATACGGACAGCATAACTGCCCGGATAATTTTATTGCTTGTTTTCTAAGGCCTTGTTTGGTTCGATAATTTATGTTTAACAAATATATTAATTCCTTCACCAATTATTATTATTAAACTTACATGGCGTTTGGTTGGGGAGGGAGAATTACGTAGAAAAAGGAATTGCAATTTTATGGGAGATAAATTACTGGCAATAAAGTGAAAATTTAAATTCCAGAGTGTTTGGTCTACAAGAATAGAATTACTGGAATTTCAATTCTAATGTTTGGTATACATGAGAATTGAAAGAGAATAAGTAGTATAAAATCCAAAATGTCCATTGTTGTTGTTAGACATTAATTTTAGGTTAAAAAATGAAGGGATAATTTTGACTCATCACTATTTTCTTTTCTTCCTAAAATCCCATGAAAATGGAGGAATTGCAATTTTTTTCAACCAAACAAGGTAATTTTGTGGCCTTTGAAATTAGGTGGGAAGGTAATTTAAATTCTCTTCAACAAAACACCCTGTTAGTGATCCTAACTTCGTCACACTAATCATTAATTTATAAGACCCCGCTCCTAAAGTTATTACAAAGATAAAGCACAAGTTGCACAATCAACCCACATGTCAGACCTTAATTTTCATGTGTTTACATAGAATCCAATCCACATCTTCCATCAATAGATCTTTATTCTTTTTAATCTTAGAATTAGAATAAAATATTATTAATTCCTTTATAGCCCATGTTGTTTGCTAGAAAATATTTGAAGGGAAATAAAATTGAAATTTCATAGAAAATAAATTCCAAAAAAAATGGATTTCATTATTTTGTTGGTGGAAAATAAATTATTGTGAATATAAATTTCATTGTTTGGCTTGATTTGGAATTGTAATAAATAATGAGTGTAAATACAATTATACCCCTACACAATAATAACAACAATAATAATAATTAAAAAACACTGGTAAGGGCATAATTGTCCTCCTTATTTTCTATGGAAAATAAAATACCAAGGGGAGGCCAAGGAAAATGTTTTCCTCATTATAGTATAAAATGTTTTCCTCATTATCGTAGAAAATGTTTTCCATTCAACCAAGCAAAGAAAATTTTAGTTTTTATCAAATTCAACAATGAAAACATTTTCCATCCAACCAAACACATTCTTAATATGCTGGATTGCAAGCCGCTATCATGTCCCACATTTTGATTTACTAAAAAGCTCACAATTGTTATCTTAACTAACAAATAATCATAATAAGGTAAATTACATTATTAAACACATAAAGTATATTATTATAACTCATAAAATACATAATCTTACATAAAAACTTTTATTATTCTTTTATTATTCTAATATATATAAAGTACATTATTTTAACTCATAAAATAAAGTATATTATTATAGAATGCTCATTATTTTAACACGCGTGCGGGATTTTTTATTATTATTGTTTTTTTTAACATCAAAATGACGACATTTTGGACCACGGTCTATACAATAATTTGCCGCAAGTGAGACAGTCTACGCAAATTATGATGTGCAACCGTGTGCACCATGTATGGTGCACACGATTGCAAAACAACGTCGTTTTGACTAAAAACGCGTGTTTCATTAAAAAAAAAAAAACAGGTTCAATTCCCTGCAATAGCATCTTTTGTGCATAATTTGAATTATATATTCACAAATTCATAACTATATATACACAAATTTATAACTATATATCCACAATGAATGAATAACACAAAATTCAGAATGAATAAACTAAATATCCACAATGAATGAAGTAAATATCCAAAATGAATGAACAACATAATGCTGCTGAGGGAAATCGAAACTGATTTTATTTTTAAATAGGACGCACGTTTTTAGTCAAAACGATGTCGTTTTGTAACAGTGTGCACCATGCATGACGCACACGGTTGCACAGCATAACTATTGGACAGTCTATAGTTGGGCTTTTGGAATCATGGGCTACAGCCTATGAACTTAAAAGCTACCTATCAGAACCGATGGCCCGATCATCATGGAGTCGTGCTCCGATAAGCCCAACAAGGTCGTCTTTCGGCTTTCGCCGTCTAAAGAAACCCTAACTGCGCAGCTCCTGCTCCTTTATATTCGTAAGCCTGGTCTTCTTCAACCAAGGTGCAGGTGGTGCAGCTTCTGGTTACCAATTTCTCGTCTCTGTGTCCATTTTGTTTTGTTTTGTTTTGTTTTCAATAATGGCATGGAATTACAAACGCCGTGTGATGAACTTGGATTAAATTACTCACGACGGTCGTCTGAGTCGCCTTTTGTGGTTGACCTGATGCAGTGATCCAAATTGTCTGATGGCAATTGTACTTTCTCTATCCGATTCGTGTTTGTTTATGTGTTTTATCTTTTACAGCCGTTAATGTTTTTTGGGGTTTTTGATTGGATGAAGGCAAACATGATGAGGAAGAACATAAATTATTCCGATTAATTTCATGAAGGAATATCAACCTCCTACTCATTCTGAATGCTTGCTTTTCATTATATTTAGCTAATAGATTATAGATCCCTAGATTCATTTTTCGAATTAACCTCTCAAAATTATTTTATGGATTTACAGTTGGCACAATGAGGATAACTTATACTGAGATCTAAAGATCTTTGCAGAAAAAATCATTAGTCCTTTTCATTCTGAGTGCAATAGTTTTTCACTTATAAATGTTATAAATGTATTAGGGCAGCATTTTTGGGTCTTGAGTTTGGCTCTTTGGTACTATTTTAATGCCATAGAGATGAATATAGCACCCAATACTATTTCCTTTTAAGTTGAATCTGGGAGTTTTTTCTTGATAAATCCACCCATAGAACACTACAAAAGGATACATATTATTATATTAATGCGACTTCTGCTGCTGTATATAATACCTGAAGCAAAGAAACAAATTTTTACAGGAATGGCTTGAAATTTTTGACAGGTCTTCTTCCCAATCTATCGATATGCTGTGTTTATAAGCGAATTGGGGTAATGGAACAGCGTTGTTCAACAGAGTAGTTCGGAATTAATTATGCTTGTACGAGGAGCTGAAATCAATGACCTCGTATGGACTTGGTAAACAGGATGAATAGTCCGTGATCGCTACTGTCACCCATTAATTCCGAAGAAAACGACGCTTGCAAATGGATCTCATCCTTCGCCTGACATGCACGTGCACTGTCTCACGCCGTCGAACACCGGTGACTTTCCGGCGCGGCGAGTCGTAGCCATCGCTCCAGTCTCTCGGTTCTTTACAGGCGTAGACTTCACCGCTTGCAACTTATAAGCATTTTACATAGTGGTTGTGGTCTCATAAATTAAAGCATTTTGTATTAAAAAACGCTGTAGATTCTGTTTCCATTGGTGTACTAATAATTTTTGGACTTGACCATTTCAACTCCAGAACTTCAAATGAAGGCTGTACTCTTCAAACTAGTAAATACATGTACCATCATTGTGGACCTCATAACTTTGACAGATATGCATGTTGCTTTGCCGAATTTGACCTCTACCCCCACCCCCCCTCCCCGGTGGTCCCATTACTACTACTTGCAAGTTTGCTAAGATTAATAAAATAATACAGAATTTGTGAAAGTCAACTTTTATATTCACTGACATGTAACAACTAACATGTTGAAAATATGCCAATTGATACGTTGGATAAGCCATAGTTTAACCACCCCTATGAAAACCTATTCTTAGTGTATTGGTTAATCAGTTCAAAATAAGATAATACTTGTTGATTCTAGCATTGATTAGTCGATATAAACATGAAATGGTCTTTAACATGATTGGTTAGCCCTTTGATAGCATGCAGAATGGCCTCTAATGCGATTGAAGGACATAGTATAAAATGCCCTCTAACTTGATTAACCTGTCCTTTGATAGCATGCAGAATGCCTTCTAATTTGATTAATCCGCTCTTTGATATGCTAAGCATGGTTGATTAGGCATTCAATAAGCATGTTTTAAGATATATTTTTATATTGAAGTGTAAAATGTACACTTTAGACCAAAGTTATTATAATGAGAAAGGATTGTTAAAGCTATTTTGGTAGACTTGAAAACATGATTAAAAGAATGGGTAAACATGGAAAATGAATAATTCCATGACCGACGCTAATCACACCCCACATCCCCTACCGGCCGGCGGGATTGACTTGAGAGTTCACACATCTCTTCCTTCTGCGCTCCGCGTCCGCCTACATTTCAGACGAGACTTTTATTCCCAGTTTTACATCAGTCAAAATTTACCCAGAAAGCGAACAAAATAAAGAGAGAGAGAGAGAGAGATGGTAAGACAAATTCAATGCTAAAGGGTAGCACTCTTTTTGGAGTTTGGTCAAGTCTTGTGGTGGCGTTTGTGCAATTTGCATTCTAAATATAATTCCGATCCTATCCGGTTGTTGAAGAGATTTTGCCATTCTTTAGTCGCTTAACGCGGTGTGAACTTTTGTACTATTCCATTCTTCCAATTGCACCAAAGCTTCTCTCTGCAAATTTGCTGATTGTCTCGCTTTTCTCTCACGTAAGTTCTTCTCTTTTGTAATTTTATTAATACCATGTTTCTTGATTTCCCATATGGTTAGTTCTTCAGCTTATTATCCCAGAAAGATGAACAACATTTGGTTTTTATAGGTAGAATTTCGGAGAATTCTGCTGTTTTTGACTTTGATCAGGATGAACGGTACTGAATTCTAGCTTTGACGGTTGCATTTTTGGTTTACTTGTTTCAGATAAGGTGAAAAGGCAGAAACTTTGATTGGGCAGTGGAATGGGGGGAGTTTGCGCAGGAGGGACAGCTAGGAATAGAGCTGAGGGTCGCCATGAGAGGAGCTCAAAGGGTTCGAAAAAGCCAAAATCAGTGAAAAAATCTGGGCAGGAGAATAATGATACCGATTCTTATGAATATCCCAATGCAAGTGCTGCTGCTAAGAAGATGCAGAATCTATATGATTCTGGTGACTTGCATTTATCTATCTCTAGAGAGTTGAAGCCCTCAACGCCTATTAGGACAGTTGCTAACAAGGTAATATGCCTAATTATGGATGTTTGCATTTGGTTAGTATGAAGTAAGTATTTTGAATCCTAAAAAAAAAATCTATATTGATGTGAATGAGATAATGTATAAATTGAACAGATACTACCTTGTAATATAGTCAATAGTATTCAACTGGTACGATCTTAAAAGAGAAATGCGAAACATGAATAAGTCCACGATTTGCACATGTTACGGTTTTCTTCTTCCCTTTCTAGCTCCTTGTCGGGGAAATAAGAAGTGCCAGTGAACTTTTTTTTGAGTAGTACTGACTCTGTTACAATGTTCATAACTATTTTCTCAACCTACTGAAGTGCCAGTGAACTTTGGGTCTTCTTCAATCCCTGTTTTATTCTCGTTGTGTAAGAACAACTTAATCTTCTTGTGACAGTCGCCTCACGGGAGCTCTTTTATTGGGAAAGCTGGCATAGTGAGCCTTGAAAAGGCGGTGGAAGTTCTAGACACTTTAGGGAGCAGCATGACGAATTTGAACAACAGTGGGTTTATTACTGGCGCGGGATCGAGAGGGAACAGAATATCCATACTGGCGTTTGAGGTTGCAAATACGATCACCAAAGGTGCTAGTTTATTGCAATCTCTATCTGAAGAAAGTATCCAGTATTTGAAAGAGGAAATTCTACATTTACAAGGAGTGCGAGAGTTGGTCTCTACGGATACGAAAGAGCTACTCGCTATAGCTGCTGCTGACAAAAGGTTAGCATCTTAAATACCATGGCCCTTTCCCTGCCGATAAAAGGTCTCTACTAATATCAAAGATGGTTCAAGACGTTTTCTGACCTTATTATTGTGTTGCAAAACCTTTAGGCATTAAACCATACTACATTTCTGCATTTCTTGTAGGGAGGAATTTGATGTCTTTTCTCGTGAGGTGGTCAGATTTGGAAATATGTGTAAAGATCCACAATGGCACAACCTGGATCGATTCTTTTCAAAGTAAGTTAGATGCTTTTCATGAATTAACTGTTGTTAACTTGTTATTTAATCGGGATATAATGCAAACTGTGCAACCATGTTTCAGGTTGGATTCTGACCCTGTAAATAGTAAACAACTCAGAGAGGAGGCTGAAATGACAATGCACGAGTTGGCCACTCTCGCACAGCATACTTCAGTAAGATTGTTTTCGTTTAAAATCTGTTATCGTTGTTAGGTTTTCATGATTTACCCATATGCCCTTTAGTCCTTGTATTCAATTCTAATGAAATGATGATCCATTTGTATATTTGTCCATTCTCTTTTTTCAGTTGATATGATAGACAAGGCTTGTTTTACGTGCAGGAACTGTATCATGAGATGCATACTTTAGACAGATTTGAACAAGATTATCGGAGGCAAGTTGATGAATTACTCTCTTTAAATCTACCTCGTAAAGGTATGTTGGAGATAATTCAAGAATTAGGGCTTTGTTTTTTGGGTGACTACTGCAATATAGTACATTATTTTGACTAGCTGTGCCTTTCGTTTTTTGTTGTAGGAGAGAGTCTTGAAATGTTGCACAGTGAGCTTAAACAACAAAGAAAAACTGTGCGGGGCTTGAGGAAGAAGTCTCTTTGGTCTAAAGGTCTCGAAGAGGTACTTATAAAAAAAAAAAAAACTTTTTCTAGTTTTATCTTCTCTAAATTTGGAGCCAAATTTCTTCCTTGCATTAGTAATGGTCGAGAATGAAACTTTAGCAAATTTGGCATACAGATTGTAGTTCCCACCTTCCCGGTGAATTAGATATTCTTATATTTTTCTTTATGTTATGGCCATTTAGCCATGTGACATCATATTTTATTTTTGTAGGTTGTGGAGAAGCTTGTTGACATTGTTACCTTCGTTCATCATGAGATTAACAATGCATTTGGAGACAGTGGTATGGTAGCATAAGTTTCCATAATAATGTTGATTATGGACTATATTCTTTCAAAGCCTTTTGGGTTCGAACTATAAAGTTACAAGGTTTTCTTATGATTTCTACTTATGATGTTCTTTACTTGGACCAGGATTGATCTATGTGGTCAAGGATACTGCAAAGAGACCAGAAAGATTAGGAGCAGCTGGTCTGGCTTTACACTATGCTAACCTGATCACTAAAATAGATAACATTGTAAGCACGGGAGTTAAAATTTGTAGACTTGGTTCCATTTACTGCTGCTTTTTATTAGTATAGTCATAATGGATTCGATATAATGGCAGGCATCGTGCCCGACTTCCCTACCTCCCAACACGAGGGATACATTGTATAATGGGTTGCCTTCAGCTGTAAAGGCAGCGCTTCGATCTCAGCTGCAGCCACTTGACACGAACGAGGAGGTTTGTCTGTCCCTTGACTAGTTTCTTAAAATGCTTACAATTTTCATCCATTACCACTGGGATTTGGCGGGTTTTCGTTTACTAATGCGTTTACATCATGATTCCTTGCAGCTCACTGTTCCTCAAATCAAGGCTGAAATGGAGAGAACTCTACAGTGGCTTGTTCCAATAGCCACTGACACTACAAAGTAAAGTAAACCTGTCTTCATTAATCATTAGTTGCCTAAACAAGCTTAGCATTATTCCCGTATCTTACTAACAAAGATTGGACTAAGGTCACTCAACTGGGCTATAATGCACATGGACCAAACCACAATTTTTAGCTAGTCTAACTCATGGCCTTATGAAGGCATATGTTCTCTCTTATTTTATCAATGTAGTACTCTTAACACCGTCAATCTTCTAATGCAATATAATTGATTTCTTGAATTTTGGATGTGGAAGCAGGGCACATCAAGGTTTTGGATGGGTCGGAGAATGGGCCAACACCGGGTTAGTGTTTTCTTCATTATTTTCGATATCAAACCTTTTCTCCATTGGAGACACTCAAGAGGTGTACGTTGTTCACTGCAGAAACGATTTTGGGAAGAAAGCAGACGTGCAGAGTACCATAATCCGGCTGCAGACACTTTACCACGCGCAGAAAAACAAAATGGACTCGTACATCCTCGAGCTCGTGTCATGGCTTCACCGCCTCATCACCCTGGTGAGATTCAACGGCCACAGGGCGTTGGCAGGGAGATCAACGGCTCCTAAAAGACTAGTCCCCCTGCATCCCGAAACACCACCTAACAGTAACCTGAAAGTACCAAATGCACAACTTTCTGCAGAAGATAGAAGATTGTTGGAAGGAGTGATGAAAAGCAGAAAGCTTGTTCCTGGACTAAGCAAAAGCCAAGAACTTGTATCACCCAACAATAAGAAGAATCAGAGTTGGTCCCTGAGTAGGAGTGCTGGTAACTCCCCTTGTAAGAAGATGGACATCCCAAAGGCTAATGCCTTGGATATTTTAGATGGTTTAGCTTAGGTTCAACAATTTGTGTACAAATCAAGCATTCTTTTATACATATACAATCATACTTGTATATTATCCCTAAAATTTTTACATCATCATATTACAATTCAAGTTAAGTTTGCACGACTTGTGAAATATGGTACATCTTTAATAACTCGCAAATCAAAAGATTAAGGTAAACCAAGCTAAGTTTGCACGACTTGTGAAATATGATACATCATTAGTAAACTTGCAAACTAATCGGCAAAATAAACTGCTATGCACATCAAAACTGCTATGCAAACTAAACGGCAAAATAAACTGCTATGCACATCAAAACTGCTATGCAGGAAGACTGCAACCTAAACTAGTTTATCTTAATTCTACTACATGTATTCCCAGAGTTTTACATATATTCTCAAATTCTACTCCCTCATTTTTACTTCATGACATGTGTTTGTGAGTCCTAAAAAAAAAAGTCAAATTTATAAAATCGTACAAAGAAAATCTATGTAGTATTTTCCTTAGCTGCTTACAGTTCTTAATGAAAATCTATGTAGTATTTTCCTTAGCTGCTTACGGTTCTTATACAAAATATACATACCCACATAATTACAACTTTAAGGGTAATTTTTTTAAAAAAATTTGGACTAGAATTAGCGATAACCTTCAAGAATAGGGATCAGATGGTAAAAATTGGAGTGCCTCATTGTCGTAACAGGCTAGGCGGGCACTCATCTCGCATCAACTGCGAGAATTGACCACTCCTCATATCCCCTTAAAACTTGCCTGAAGGATCATGGTTGACAACATTGAATCACGGTGTCTTTTATAGTAGGCATAGCACCAATTCTTTTGCTCACAAATCCGATGTGGGATGCCTAGAATATTAATCACATGGCAGAGGTCGAGCCGTATTGGGCCTTCTTTGCCATTAGGCCCAAGTCCATTTGTGATAACGGCATAGTCCACACAATTTTACGTGGACCATAACAAAAAGTACATTTTAACATATTAAATGTTCATTATTTATGTACTGAATGTACATTATACAATATAATGTACACTTAGAACAAAAATAATGTACATCCTTTGAATATGTACATTATTTTTGTACTGAATGTACATTGTTTTACAATAGACAAAATATGGTCCACACAACTTGTGAAATATGGTACATCTATCTTTAATAAGGCAAGATAAACCAAGCTAAGTTTGAAGGCAAACTTTATCGTGCATTGCAGTGCATAATCGATCATGCACCGCTCATCAAAACGACGTTGTTTTGTTTAATGAAAAGAAACGGCATCCGTTTCCCGCCATTCCGCATTTTTCCGCAAAAAGTAACTCTGTTAATCAGTTTTATTTTGTATACACTGCAGTTTCAGTTCAACACAACTACAGTTTCATTTCGATATAACTACAGTTTCATTCAATATTTATAGACTCAAATATGTAAAAATGTTATTTAATTTTATTTTATATACACTATAGTTTTATTAAAACACAACTATATGATCATTTTGATATAATTACAGCTTCATTGTACAATATATACTCAAATATGTGAAATGTTATTCAGTTTCATTTTATATACATTGTAGTTTCATTTCACCAAAACTACAGTATCATTTTGATATAACTACAATTTCATTTGATAATATAAAAATAATACGTGAAGCAGTGGGACGCCCCGCCATTTCTTTACTTAAAAAAACGGCGTCATTTTAACCACGACGCATGTACACCGCGATCCACAATATAACAACCCGTTTGAATGACTTGTGAAATATGATACATCATATTAATGAACTTACAAACCTAAACTAGTTTATTTGCTTCTTGTTCTTATACAAAATACATAAATTACGTTAAAATACATAACTTATGTATAATTAACTCTTTAAAGGTAATTTTTTAAAAAAATTTTGGATACTAAAATTAGTGATGACCTTCAAGAATAGGGATCAGATGGTAAAAATGGGAGTGCCTCATTGTCGTAACAGGCGAGGTGGGCACTCATCTCACATCAAATGCGAGCATTGACCACTCCTCATATCCCCTTAAAACTTGCCTGAAGGATCATGGTTGATAATGTCGTATCACGGTGTCTTTTATAGTAGGCATAGCACCAATTCTTTTGCTCACAAATCCGATGTGGGATGCTCAGAGTATTAATCACAGTGGCAGAGGTCGACGCCGTATTGGGTCTTCTTGCCATTAGGCCCAAACGGGAAAAACTTTTTGGCCCAAGTCCATTTGGTATAACCCAATTTTGAACCGGAACGAGATCGGTCTATCCGAAACTGTCAGCTTCTTGTTGCGGGAAGCTATACAGTCATACTGCGTAGTTTCGAGCTGAGACTCTGAGAGCAATGGTGCGTGCGATGAAGGCTTTATTGAACTGGCCAAGATGGCATCACCATGTTTGTTCCCGCGCAGTAATGATTCGGTTTCTCCATTCTCCGTTACCGTCTTCTCCTGCTAGCTTCTGCCGTCGGCCGCAGTTTTCTTCGATTCCTTTGGCGTCTCGCCACCTCAGCTCCGGTGCCGGCGCCATTAGACTGCGGGACGCTCCCGTACCGCCTGAGTCGAGCGGCAGCGAATCCGATACGCCGCTAAAGAAGAGCAGGAATGAGAAGAAGCGCGAAGCTCAGCGCTGTGTACGCTGGGGAATGGAACTGGCTAAGTTCCAGCCTCCTCAAATCAAACGTATTCTCAGGTAATGCAAATATTTTTTAAAAAAAATTTATGCAGTGAGTGCGTGAGCTGCTAACTTCCTGAACAATTAATGCAATGTGATTGTATTTCTGCTCTCTTTCTTTTTCTTCTTATTTTTATTTTTATTTTTATTTTTCATTGATCAATCAGAGTTGCTGCACTTGAGCGGGAGGTTTACGAGGCAATCATGCTTGTTAAGGTGATAGCATTATGTAAACTCCATGTTTCATTGCTAGTAGGCCGGCAAGGCTGTCCGGTTGTTCTGAAGGTTATGAAGGCAAACTGTTTGCTTGTTTGACGCAGAGATTAGGTCGTGACGTCCGAGAAGGAAAACGCAGACAATTCAACTATATAGGTCTGCCTCTGAAAGTCTGAATATTAATCAGAATTTTGAACCGTATGAAAGCATGATAGTATCCGGCAATAATGTGATTGGTGTTCAACCTAACACTAATGGTTGTGATAATCTTGATAGAATTGTCACGGTCTTATGCTGCATTGGGGGCCTTTATACATTTGGGTGCTCTTTACCTATATTTTACTAGATTAGTTAGAGAGATATATGGGTTAAAGCAGGTAAATAGATTTAAATTTATGTGGAAATCTTGCAGGCAGCTTAGATTAACAATTGTTTATGCATTTACCCAAAAGCCATAATACTTATTGTGTAATTTAAGTTCATACTAGGTAGACTACTTCGGGATGTAGAACCTGAATTGATGGATGGCTTAATTGAGGCAACAAAAGATGGTGACCAGAATAAGTTTCAGGCTTTATCTGGTTCAATAATATGGAGTACTGAAGATGAAAATGATGATGAAGTTTATGAATCTGAGGACGAGGATGAGGATGATGATAATGAAGAGGTATGGCAATTGGCATTATATACATCACTCATAACTTCTCTTTGTTCAATTCAATTATGCGGTTGTTTTCTGTAGTGAATTGATAGGACTACAATCAAAATCCCCATTTTATAATCAAAGATACTAGTTGTCATGAAGGAGAGGCATGAGATTGATGTGGGCTAACATTATGTAGAATGTTACAAAACCTAGTTAGTTAATCACAAGAAGTAAACACTGAAGAAAAATTTTGCACTAAAAGGAGAGATGAAAACGAACATAAAACATGCTAGTAAAGAGAAGATAAAGAACACATGGTGTCATCTCTTTTCACTTGTTGCAGAGTATTGAATTGGCTGACAGATGGTTTGATGGCTTGATCAATAAGGACGTCGAGGTTAGCAATGAAATATATTCTCTGCGTGAGGTCGAGTTTGATCGTCAGGTTAGTTCTTCTCCTCTGTAATTGTTATCCTTCAATATTGGTATCAGCCTTGTCATCCAAATAAAGACTTCTCACATTGCTCCACTCTTATGCATATTTAATTTGCTTGCACCTTTGCCTTAAATGTTAAACTTTTACTCTCCTGTAACTTAGGTCTAGTCCATAATATCATTGTTACAGGAATTGCGGAGCCTAGTCCGTAAAGTTCAATCCATCCAACGGCCAGAAGTCAGTGAAGAGGGAAAGGAAAGCGAAGTGGATATAACTTTTATCAATGCCAAAAAGTCCCTCACTCGTTTCCTTCTACGCATAGCTAAGCAGCTTCCAGTTGAGTAGACAATCCTCATCTGGTACTATTTACTGTTTTTGGCTCTGATGATAGACATTACATAAACATTACTTGTGAGGGCATTATATAGACATGATCATTCATTATTAATGATTTAAATGTCATGAAGATTGAAGAAGCTGAAGGCCTGAACTAACCTGACATTAGTGACATACAGTTTCTGCAGAACAAGATTTAGTTGGTTGTATAGACAGGATCATCACTGTAGGGTCCAAATATTATCACATTTTCATCTTCTCAAAAGGTTTAGTGGGAATAGGCTCGAAAATCTTTTTGACATTTCTATCCTGACAAAAGCATGCATACCCCACCCCTAATGACATCCGATTCAGACATAAACCTCTTTTCTAACTATGTCACTTCACTTTTCACTAGGATAATCAAAGTTATTTAGCCCTGTATTATCGCATAACCTTTTGAGATACGAGACTTTGAGGATACAGGGTTGGAGTAACGGTAGATATACTAAGAAGAAGAAGCAAGAGTTGTATATGTACAACTTACACGGGCATTACCCCGGCAAAACAAGCGAAAGCGCCAAGCAGAAACAGAAGGTGAGATGTGTAGTTGCATAGGTTGCACAGTGTTTTGGAAAAGAAAGGTAATAAGCCGCAAGAAGACAATAAAACTTAGCTGATAAGGTTGTGATGAAAAGGGATATTCCCACAGCTTTTACTATATAATGGGATGATGAGATGAAAAGAAGGTACGTAGATAAGCACAAGACACTTACACAAGTCATGGCTGTTAATTAACTGTCCTTATTCAATGCTAGCTGTCGGTGCCAAATCCCTCACTCCGACCCCCACACCCTGGCCTTATTGGAGGATCAGTAATTCAGTACTCACAAGAGAGTGATGCTATCTGCTATGATTCATTCTTGCATCATTGGGTGCAATCTGTCACCTGAAAACCAATTAAGTTACTCGTGAGGACTTGAGAACCAATTGAGTTACCCATAAGCGTCAAAGTCAAGTTTTTTTCTCTTCCGTCAATTACGAGGCTTTAGACCCCTGGCAAGAAAACAAAAGGGGGTGAAGAAGAATTTCCATGAAAAGGAAATGAGATGAGAGGACCAAACCAGTTAATCGTCACTTTTTTTTTTTTTTTTTTTTTTTTTTTTTTGCAAGGATGACTCAATCCTTTTCTAAAAAGCAAAGATATATATTAGAGAAATGAAAAGTATAGTTTTTTAAACGAATACTAAAAACCCAAATGGCCCTTTACACGACATAAAACATGTGGATGTAGGCTGTAAGCGGTATTGGTGAAATAAAAGTGGTGGTAGTATCATTGAAAAGAATGCAGAAAGAAAGGACGATATGGTCTTGATCGATCATCTCCAATTCTTTCTAGATATGCACGCATGGTCTTCCACTCCATTCCATGCTATCCGCTCTGCCAAATCAAAATTAAAGACACTTTTGCATGCCTTTCAATTGCAAATTAAAGGACAATTATATATCATAGAAGAATGACATTTTGTGTCAATTCAATTATCGATCCTCGGTATGAAAACAGGAATAATTGAGGGACTCGTTAAATCATGTGTTGGGACAGACTGATTTAGTTGAATAATTTCTTGAAAAACTCAAAATTTTCCACCATCTATCCTATGTTCGAGAACTATAACAAATAGGGGACTTGGAGTTTGGGCAGACTGATCTAATTGAAGTGGTGAGTTCTTGGAAGATATTATTAGAAAGTTCAATCAATCAAATAGTCAAAAACCCTAAGTTTTCAAGATGTCTGACCATGCCAACTTTAATTTTCTTCTAATTAATTATCGATTTCTAAATAACCTTTTGTCTAAATATGGTGTTGCGCGTCCACTTAACATGAACCTAACATAAATGGCTACACATATGGGGAAAGTAAACCCACCAAACAAGACTAACTAGGAAATGCCCACCAAACAAGATTTAGTGAGAATGAAGCAAAGAGCATCTCCATTAAGGGAATTGTTCACGATTTTTTTAGGAGAAATTGTCACATTGGATGAGAGAGAAGCATGTGATCAGAGAATGCTAGAGGTCTTCCTGCTAATTTGGAAATTTTTTCAAAAAATGACAGTTTGTGGGGCCAGTTGTGAAAAGGAAGAGCCGCACGTCATGTGCATGTCGCGCCTAGCCTGGCGCTTGCACGCGCCAGCTGGGAGTGTTAACTACCTTATTTTTCTTCTTTTTTTTTTTTTTTCCTAATTCAGTTTTATTTTGTCTTCTTTTCCCTATTTTTTATTTCCTCTCGATTTCTCTTTCCTAATCACAATTACAAAAACTCTTCAAAAATTACACCAAAATCCTCACTATTGAGGATGCCCTGAAACGTGTATAATGTATATGTAAATTAAAGGCAGCCAAATTAACCAAAGTGAACAAGTGTGTCTTCTTAAATAGATGGAGATTGATCAGAGTGTTTTAGCTGCACATGCACATCTATGATGTATGAATCAACATTTGCGTGTTCTTACATAGGCGTGCCAACTTTTAGCATCATCATCTACTTGGAATATTGCAAACTTTGACAATTTTGTTTCTCTGAACTCTCATCATCTTATATATATATAATGTTGGCTGGTCTGTTTTGGTAGGTAGGCATGCATGCATGTCCATTTTACGTACTACTTTATACCCTATATATGTATATATACTTCGTCATCTTTGATATGCTCCCCATGTGAAATGTCCACTGTACTCCTTTTTTATATTAGGTATATTTTACTGCCCTTTAAATTAATTTCCCATCTGTCAAAACCTTATCCTCTATATATATATAAACACACAACTTTAGTTTCTTTTACTGTTTCCTTAAACTTTTGTGACGAATTCGACATGTGGGTCCAGTACCCCAAGTGCATTCCACCTCAATATTGAGACACAGATCGATGTGGAGCACCACTAGTCTATCCTTCTGCTTAGTAAAAAAAGCAATGCATATGCACCTTGGATTTGGGGAATTGTTCATCTCTTGTTTGCTATATGTTCTTGGTGGTGATAAGGGAATTGAACTTTTACTTTTTCCTCCAAAGGAAAGGAACTTAATAAGTACATCTACAGATAATAGTCCCATCATCTAGTGAACGTACGTACTGGTAGCAACTAGCAAACTATAGCACCTATAGTGGTGGTTGGATATTGCTTCCAAACTCCCCGCATGTCCTTACCCTAGAACTTTGGTGGAGGATCGGGTAAATTGCATGCGGGATGTACTTCAGTGATGTCAACTTTTCCCAAGTGTTTATACACTAGTCTTTATTCGACAAATTCAATTAAGATCACATGGCCTCTAGAGTAGACGATCAGAATTCAAACATGCTCGATCACTGCGTATCCAAGTAAATTCAATGATCGATAATTCCATCAAATTATAATATAAAGTACTCTGATTCATAGTTATTAAGTTGGATTTTTATCTCATGTAAAACTTCCTTTAATTTCTTTAGTATCTCTTTTTGGAATGCAATTGCATATTTGCGGGCTTAGTAGCTTATTACCCCACGCTAAAAATATAGGGTAAAAATATTATCTTAATTAATAATATAATTTGTGATAAATATTATGGATTATATATAATATTTTATACGCATTTATGAATATCACTAAACTTTTTATAATCTTTGTAGCAGAATGATGTTAGTTTATGACCTTTTTTTTCCACATCAATTATATGATCAATAATAATAAGAATCTAATTCCTTGAAAAAAAAAAAAAAAAAAAAAAAAAGCTCCTAAGATGCATTAATTCAACAATATTTATCACAAATAGAGGCAGATTGAATGCACACATGCATGCATGCAGTATGGGAAAGCAAATATTCTTTCTTAAATATTAACACAATTTTCTCTTGGAAAACGTTGGTCATTAATTAGGTAGAATATTTTGACACTGCGTAGTACTGGTCGGACTATAGAATTTTTTTTTTTTTTCTCTCTTTTGGATAAGAAGTTGATTAATATCCTTCTAGAGCAATTAGGTAAAAAGGGAGAAAAAAAAAAATGAACCCATAGTATTTGTACGTGTATGTGTTGTAGACTTGGCCTTCTGATGGTGTGAACTTGAAGAATTTCGTTTATATGTAATAGATTAATAGCTCTCAAACTAAGGGATATCTTGTATTAGAAAAATTCTATACGATAGATTCAATAAAAAGATGTCGGTAAAATTTAAACTCATGATCTTTTTATGCGAGAATCATGTTTCACCCCCTCGATAACTCCATAACTCCTTTCAGGACTATTATATTCCAGACGTTCTTCTCCCAAAAGGCCCCAACACTCTGACCGGACAGACATTTGGAATGATGTAAATCACATTGACTCAACAAATATGACAAAATACTGGTGCGCACAAATGATCTTTTTTGTCCACTTTAAACATATTCCCACACTGCTGTCGTCGAGATTTGAACATTGGTCTACTACCTACATTCTTTAGTGCATAGGTGATGAATCACACACATTAGAAACAATGTTATTTAAAAAAAAAAAATCCATATAAAAAGTTATAATATTTATTTTAAGTTAAATTAATGAATAAAATATCACCCTTAAAGTTTTATTGTATACAACAGAATTAATAAAATAAAAAGAATAAAATAATAAATATGAAACTGCCCATACAGTTGCTAGGAAGGCTTATTCTTAGTCAAGTTGTGGAGAGTGGTTTGATGTCCCTCCTAATTTCTTTGTGAACTGCCTTTATCATGATTTAATGCATTAAGTTCCTCTTTTCAAAAAATAAAAAATAAACATGAAACTTCTAATATAAGTTGTCAACCTGACTCCATCAAAATACAGAGAGAGCTATGGCTATTCCTAAGATGTTTATAGTTTACCTAAATCTTCTTTGACCAAAAATCCGACAATATACCCATCAACATTGCCCTATATATCTTCTCCTTTTTATATCACAAAATTTATATATACGTGCTCCCAACTATAGATATAGTTAGATATATACACATCCATTATATTATCCATAGCACCACCTTCCCCTCCCTCTCTAAAACTATATACTTGTGTCTCTGAATCTATCAAAAACATAAATTTTCTCATATAACCTATATATCCATAAACTTTTTTAGCTTGATCATCATACTATCTATCAGTCTGTAGTTTGAGTGGGAAATCTTCAAATGTCACCAACTTTTGCTTCTTGTCTGCTGTTCTTCATCCTCATTGTTCAAGGTAAAAGGACAAAAACAGAAACATAAATGGATTGTTCGTTACATTCTGGGGACTGGGATTGGGACATTTATGATCGTCATTGGACTGATGTCTTATGATATGTTTTTTTGGGTTTTCGCAGGTGCTAGAGGAGCGACTTTTATGTTAATTAACAAATGCGGTTATACGGTATGGCCGGGAGTTCTGGCCAATGCCGGCAGTGCCGGATTGGATAGCACCGGATTCGAGCTTGCGCCGGGGGCGTCACGGGGTTTTCAGGTGACGTCAAGTTGGTCCGGCCGGATCTGGGGGAGAACCGGCTGTAATTTCGACGCCGGCACTGGACAGGGAAGCTGCGCCACCGGCGACTGCCGGTCCAATCAGGTGGAATGCAATGGCGCCGGTGCAACACCTCCGGCGACGCTGGCGGAGTTCACGATCGGGAGTTCGGGCGCTGATAATAAGGACTTCTATGACGTCAGCCTGGTGGACGGATACAACTTGCCAATGCAAGTGGAAGCCATTGGCGGGACCGGAGCGTGCGGGTCAACCGGCTGCGCCGCGGACGTGAACCGGATTTGCCCGAAGGAGCTCCGGTCCGGAGACGGGCTGGCATGCAGAAGCGCGTGCGACGCATTCGGCAACCCGGAATACTGTTGCAGCGGCGCGTACGGTTCACCTTCGACATGTCAGCCGTCGATGTACTCGGAAATGTTCAAAAATGCGTGCCCCAGATCATATAGCTACGCCTACGATGACGCCACCAGTACTTTTACGTGCACAGGCGCCGATTATAGAATTACATTCTGCCCTTCAACCACAAGGTAATTAAGATTAATTAATTTAATTTTAACGCATAAAATTTATAAATAATACTGAAGATTTTATTAAATATATATAAAAAATTATTATTCAATTTTTTTAAAAAAATTGAATGAGTAGGAATGGTAGTATATGAAGCTGGGCTGGGCAAGAAGAATCTTTGGACCTTATCTGATAGAGTGATAGGGTTTTCTTTTGTAGCTTTTACTTCTTTGATTAATGTACAAATGGGCATAATATATAAATATCTTCTTGAATTTTTTATTTTTTCTGCATTAGCACTTTATTCTTTTCACAACCTATACTTCAATTCGCCACGGTCGAATGAGCTCAAGCCCTTTAGTATCTTTTTTTTTTTTTTTTGGTGACATTAATTAATTATTTAATTATTTGTGGGCGGTGTAAATGTTGCAGTGGGCAGCAAAAGTCTTCATCGTCGTTGCCGGCGGCAGCAGGAGCATCGTCGGCGAGTGGACCTCCGGCAGCGGCGGAGGATTCGGGACCGCAGGACGGAATTGTGTTTGGGAATTCATGGTTGGGATTCATAACGGGAGATTCATCGACGACAATGTCGCACTTTGCCTTGCATTCCAAGTCTCCGCTGACCTCAGCTATTGCCTTTTTTATTCTCTCTTTTCTTCACTTGCTCTTAGTATTATGAACGAAACGAATGAACAGCTTTTCCAATTATTTTTTTTAAATATTTTTTTATCCATGTATAAACATCATGGTACGTGACTTGGGATACGCGTTTGAGGAGGAATTAAAGCAGACCAAATACGTACGCATGCGTTTTACGCAAATTAAAGCACACTTTTCCTTTTTGTATGTATACTGTACTCTAGCTAGGTTACATGCTCGCGCCACAAAATCTGATCTTTCATTGCATGTGTTCATAAACCACCTTTCACCTTTGCCGGAATTGTAAGCTTTGTAGTCATCACGGCCGTCATCATGTTGCCGCCCACATTGACTAACAAACCAAACTGCATGCCATCATTGAAAGACAATTGGGTATTTGGTAAATACTTGTTAGCTAGCTAATAGGTTAATGAGTTTGACTAGTTGTAGAAAAGTGTTTGGTAAATTAACTGTTAGCTAATTACATATAAAATGTCTTGACAGTTTTTTAAAATTTTAACATTCTGGAGCAATAAGTTGTTATATAAAGCTAATTAATTAAACACTTAGATGATTTAACCAAGTCAAATAGCTAATAGTAGTCAAATAAGTTAAAATGACTAATAAGCTAACTATGTTACCAAACATAACCAATAGAAAGTTTCCACAAAAAGTTAAATTTAATATTGTTATTAATTTAACTGTTCGATCAACTTAGTAATTGTCTCTTATGCAATTGTACCAAACAATATATGGTTAAATGAGATTGTTAATTTAAGGATTAAGTGATCTAATTAATGATTGATTGGTATAAAATAGTAAGTAATGGTTGGTGAATGCACCAAACAATCAATCATAGTTAGATCCACATGCGTGACATGGCATCTAACTGATTTTAGTTCATGAAATTAATCTAAGGAGGCGTAAACATAGCCCCATAATATGTAAGATTCGAATTGAAGTTAGCCTCTGTACTGACCAGAGTAGCACTAGCGACATCAGCTTTCCGCTTTCGGTGAAATTTAAATTAGTTTAATTTATTAACACCAATCAAACAACTAGGATCGGAGAATCAATTAAGCAAATGTTAAGGCTGTTGTATGTATGGAATAATATCCGCTTTTGAGCCTTAGAAAAACTATAAACTTCATCCTTTCTGTTTTTCTCTAATTGGCCGGTTTAATTCACTGCTGGCAGGCGATCGAATCAAATCTTTTCGCTTTAGGATCTTGTTTCGGACGTTAGTGTTTTTTTTTGTTTATTCATGAATGGTTGCAATAATCAAAAGCATGATGGTGGGTTGAGGTAGTTGTCGTGTGTTAACTAATTAAACGAATTCTCTCTTTTTTTTTTTTTTTTTTTTTTTTTTTTTTTTTTTTTTTTTTTTTTTTTTGAATTCAGAAAAAGATTATATCTGCTTAATTTTTTTTTTTTTTTAAAAAAAACATAAATTTAAATCGAGAAGCTAGCAAAAAACTCTTCTTTTTTTTTTTTTAAATAAGCTTTATTAATTAAGGCGTAGAATACTAGAAAACAAAATTCCTGGCTAACATATGTCTGCAGTAACCTATGAACTACTGAACTAATTCTTTACGAATGCAGTCAAAGATCGTGCATGTACTCTTTCTGGATAATCTATAATTCGTCCTTGACATCATCGGTTTTGGAGCTAGAATCGGTTTCTTTTGCACTGGTTTCAGCCTCAGTTTCTTCGGCTTCTTCTTCCTCCTCAACTGCCGCATCAGGGTTGATTTTGAGACCGCTTTTGACTGAACCGTATATACGAGAGGCAAAGTCCTTGGGATCATTGAGTATGAAGCCACTCTCCATGAGAGCTGTTTGGTATATTAGCTGTGCCGTTTGCTTCACACTCTCATCCTGTCAACAAATTAAAGTGTTTACTGCTGTAATAAACCAGGATTGATCGGATAAAAGATATGGAAAATGGAAAACATGAAAAAGGAAATAATGCAATTACTTGCAATTTTTATAATTTGAAAATGAAGAATGAAGGAATGAAGGAATGCAGTCTATAGACTATAGTTCGTGAAAATGATGATAAACCAGGTCATTTTTAGTTGGAAGAATAAATACCTCAGGGTCCTTTGCTACTCTTATACGGAGCTCCTTGATGATTGGGTGCCTAGGGTTGATCTCAAGCACCCTCTTTCCACGCATATACGGCTGTTTATTGGTATCTGGTAGAGTTTGTGACTGCATGATTCTCTCCATATTTGCACTCCAACCATACTTTGATGCCACTACTACACAAGGAGAGTCAGCCAGACGACTGCTAATCTTCACGTCGTCAACATTGTCACTGGCCAATAGTGACTTTTTCCACCATTTTGTCAAGTCCTTGAAGGACTCTTTGAGCTCCTTGTCTTTAGAACCCTTAATTTTCAGGCCTTCTTTGGACACATTTTGGAATTTCTTATCTTCATACTCCATCAGATATTGCATCACGTATTCGTCCACAGGATCCGTGAAGAGAATGACCTGAATAAAAGATTAAAAACTAATTAAAGGATGAGTTGAAGTAAAGTTTAATGGTCTAAACACACGCAATACTATAGTTTCCTATCAAAGAAAAAAATGTTAAGACATGACAAAAAGGAATCATCATTTGATGGATAAAAAATACGCCAGTTTGTTTTGAGAAATTCTGAACTATATACCTCATAATTTTTCTTCTTAAGCCTCTCGAGGAAGGGGGATCTCTCCAACTGTTCTTTGCTTGTTCCTGTAAGGTAGAAGATCTCCTTTTGGCCTGATTTCATCCTAGAAATATACTTGTCAAGTGAGGTTAGTTTCCCCTCTGATTTTGTCCTGAAAAGAATTAAGGAAAAATAAATCAGTCATGGCAACATGGTTTTAGTTTTATAAGCAGAAATCAGGGGAGATCACTATGAAACCAAGTGCATACGTCTCAAAACGAAGAAGTTTGGCCAAACGGTTTCTGTTAGCTGTATCCTCTATAATACCAAGCTTTATTGACTTGCCAAGCTCATTCCAGAACTTTACATATTGACCTCTCTTTTTATTATCATCACCGGATTCTTCAACTTCTGTATAAACAGGAGTAATCAAGACCAAACAAGGAACTGCACGTTTCAATATCTAACAGAATAGAATATCAGTGAAAATTCCAAACCTTTTTTGTCCTTGTTGCTAGATTCATCTGGATCCTCATCGGCAAGCCTGCGAATCATATCAAGGGCCTTGCGAATGAGTTTCTTCTTGATTGTTTTCAAGCTGGTGTGTTGCTGGAGCATTTCTCTTGAGACATTCAGTGGTAGGGTGTCAGAATCAACGAGACCCTAAAAAATACGAGTTATCAGGTGCCAATCTCTGCTGCAAACTCTTATTAAAACCACAAAATCTCAGAAGATCAAACACTAACCGTCAGGAATTTCAGGTACTTGGGCAACAAGTCTTCAAATTCATCTGATATAAAGACCCGTCTGACATATAACTTCAAGTTGGACTTCTTTGCGTTATAGTATCTTTCATACAGATCATGGGGAGCCTTGTGAGGAACAAAGAGAACAGCCTTGAACTCAACATCACCTTCAGCAGTGAAGTGACTCCAAGCAAGGGGCTTTTCATCACTGAAGTCCTGTTTGAAGGAGATAAAAAGTTTTAGCTGATGGCAAGTTCAGGGAGCCTATAACAGAAATATGGTATAATTTACCTTGGCAAGAGAGTGATAAAACTTTGTATACTCTTCTTCTGTCACCTCCTTGGGATTCCGTAGCCATATAGCTTTAACATCATTCAAAAGCTCCCATTCATAGGTCGTTTCCTTCACTTTTTTAGTTTTTGGCTTTTTCTCATCTTCCCCTTTCTCGGCATCTTCCTCATCTGTGTCTTCATCAGAAGATGTGGCTTCCGCTGTTCATGAAATTGAACATGATAATTAGACAAATAGAAGGCAAAATAAGTACCAGCATTGCTAGGAAAAGAAAAGTCATACACACATGTATCATCTTCATCACTAGACTCGTCTTCATCAGCAGGAACCTCCTTGTCAACCTCTTTGCTTGCCCAGAGATGTATAGGGAAGTTTATGAACTCCGAGTATCTCTTCACCAAGTCCTGAAACCATAGTTACCCAAGGAAGGTTATGCCATTTTGTTAACCGTAAATGTGACCCAAACAAAAGATCCATACAATTTAATGTAATCTTTCAGACACAGACTATGTGACAGCAGTAGGAATCTTCTTGAACTTCATAGAAGCTAGAAAAACATAAGTTCCAACCAATCAAAGATGAAACTTCCATATGAGAGAAGAAAAATAGATAATAGGAAGTTTATACATTATCACTTGAATTTCTTAACCTCTGTTGCCAAGCACAAGCATAAATTAACCAAAATCACATAGAACCAATTTTGTGGTGGTTCACAGTATAATGCAATGCAGAAGGCAATAACATGCTTTCACACTCTAACTAGCAATACAAATAAAGCAGTGGCACTTGTTGACAACAAATATGGAAAACCACTGCACAAATACATCTTTTATGATAGTACATGTATACTCACTTTCAATTTGTATTGATCCAAATATTCACCAGCTTCATCCCTGAGGTGCAATCTGATTTCAGTACCACGGCCTAGTGGCTCATTCCAAGAATCCTCTGAAATTGCAAAGGCTCCATCGGCCTTTGATTCCCACACGTATCTGAAGGCAGAAAATTATGGAGCAGATTTTCATCTCATCAGAAACCTCCACAGCAAAAGAATAATGGAGGAAAAAGCTTAACCTCTGTCAACAATATCATCATATGATTCTAAAGAACTTACTGCTTGTCATCATTGTGTTTAGTAATTACTTCTACATAATCAGCCACGAGATATACTGAATAGAACCCAACACCAAATTGCCCTATGAGGTTAAGGTCTCCACTTTTCTGCATTTTCTCAACAAAGGCTGTACAGGACAACCAATTACTGTTTTGTACATAGTCCAGAAAAGCAAAAAAGAAATGTCTAGATATAGGCATCAATTACATATTGAATTTGTAAATAGATACCTGAAGTTCCAGATTTCGCAATGGTCCCCAAATTCTTGATTAGATCCTCTTTTGTCATTCCTATACCTCTATCACGAATGGAAAGAATTTTCTTGTCTTTATCCAATTTAATCTGCATA